TCTAGTAGCTACTACTTTTGCAACTTTTCGCAATAGGAAAGTTAGGCGTATTATCAATACGAAGATGCTCGAGAAGATTAAGCCGGTGTCGGGTGATTGATGAATAAAGTATTACCGTGAACTGTGAAGTCGACAACTTTTTAGTGTAGGACTGGAGAAATGTACCTCTTTATTTGTGGGACAGTGTAACCATTTAATTGTAGTAATATTTACTAAGCTACATTAAAAAAATCAACTGGTTATAAATCATTTATTATGTAACGTATCTGCTACATGTTTGAGAAGGGAGACAGCCTAGATCAAACCATTTATTTTGTCAGACAAATGTTGTTTCATATTATTTATGAAACTATCTCAACATTTAGCTACAAAATTAACTGTTATTATTAACATTTGTATGATCACCAAATACACATGTTTTCCACCTGCGCACTCTGTTAGCTACCCGTTTTTGGAATTTTCGCAACAGAAAATTTGGGCGTCTTATCAAAATGAAGATAGGTACTCACGAAGATTTAGCCGGGTATTAATGAAAAAAGTTAAATCGTGAAATCGACAACTTTTGAGTGTAGGACTGAAAATAGCTACCTGTTTATTTGTAGGACAGTGTGACCATTTAATTGTAATAATATTTACCAACCTACATTGAAAAAATCAACTTGTTATTAATCATTTTTTATGCAACGTAATTGCTACATGTTTGAGGGGGGGGACATCGTAGACCAAACCCTTTATTTTGTCGGACAAATATTGTTTCAAATCTATATATATAAAAATTTCACGGGGTATCCGGATATGCGCTCCAAAACCACTTATCCGATTACGAGGAAACTTTGGTAGGTTGTTATGGCCATCCCAAGGAAGGTTTGTGGATAGGTTACGCATCTCGGAAAAAGAAATTAATTTTGAATTAATTATTAATTTAATTGTAAACAAACTCATTCACATTAGGCAATTCAATCCATCTGTCAGATAGGAAAATTCAATATGGCTTGGCGGCCAAGCAAGTTTGTTTTGAATGTGTTTTTATGCGTATTTCAAATTATTTTGCTTAGAGTTTTGCTTGCAACTTTGATTTGGATTATTTAATAAAATATTTGTTGACTAGGGGCCAAATTACAGTATATCTGCATCTGCAAATTTGCAGTTCTGCAAATATGGCCGACTTGCAAATGTGCTCTATTTGCAGAAACAAGCAAATTACAGAAAAAAATCTGCAGTTTCGTCATATTTATCGGAAAAAGTGTTTGGGCGCTACTGATTTACCATATTAAAATGCCAAAATTGTCAAAGTGATTGCAAGGACTTGCGGGACCGTTTCACCATGCGCAAATTTGCAGGCGACTTGCAAATGCGTTCTGCTTCTGTGATACGAGAAGTCAGACTTGCAGGTTCTGCATTTGTATCTTGGTTTTGCAGAGCTTCTGTAATTCCGGGCTAGGTACCTAAACTAATAAATCGGGCCGAATCTAGATATTTTTGTGTGTTTTTTGGCCCATGTGTGGCCGCCACGCCATCTTGAAAATCACGTGGTTTGAATTACCTAATTACATAACAACATAACCCAACTTTTTTTGACAGCATGAAATAACGTTGACATATTTCATTTATTTAGGCTTGCATTCAACTGACGTAACTTTATTATTTTTTGAATTCAAAAACGGCTGTACCGATCTTGAATTAATACCACGTATCTCTATATAAGGTGAATTCGATTGACCCAAGTCGATCTATTTGGGTTCAATTTAAGTGAACTTCTTCTGATCTAGATCATTTTTTTGTTGATGAGGGTGCACTGATTCAGCTTGAATTGAACACAGTGTGGTTCATTTAAATTGAACCAGATCGATCTAATCCGCCCAAGTAGCACATACATGTCCTGCGACTACGAATTAACCAAATATAACGTTGCCAGAAGTGCAGATACAGTGCAGATAAGTGTCCGTCAATGATTTTTCGTTAAATTTACGTCGTGCCGTCGTCCCTAATATGTGGTCAAGAAATCGGACCTTTATTTAGCTCAATTTTGACGTTATAAATGAAAACCAGTCTTAACGTTGAATTGATAACGTCAATCCGTCGTCCTCTTGTATACTTGTGACCTCTGAAACGTTTTTTAAACGTCGTCTAATACGACCAATCATGAGGTAAGATAAAAATCGTAAAATGGACGTCATAATATTGTACCAAATCCAACGTTGCATTGAAGACGTCAATCCGTCGTTATCTTCATATCCTGTGACCTCTGAAACGTTTTAAAAACGTCGTCTGACACGACCAATCATAAGGTCAGATAGAGGTCTTAGAAAAACGTCCGGCCAACGTTAAAATTGGACACAGGTAAAATTTGGTGCAGCATTTCATACTTTCTGCGTCGTTCGTTAATAAACTGTCATCAGTCAAACAGAAACATAAACAAACAATAGACACGGCGTTACTGTGAAAAGTTTTTAACAATTTGAATAAGTATTTGCTATTGTAGTTTTGATATGATATAGGACAAAACAGGAGCTTCAAATACTTATCCACATATTACAGAAGAAGAATTTTTTTTTTAGATTTAGTGAAAAGGGAGAAATATATTCCAAACATGAAGGAAATGGAGCAAGAAGGGAAATTGGAAGAGAACCCTGTAATCTCCAATTAGGAAATTAAAAAAGATTCAATAAATATCGGGTTAAAAAAAGGAAATATTTCAAGATTTTGTACATTAAAAATAAAACATTTACAGTTTCCTGAAAAATTTCAAATAAATGAGAGCGTTGAAGCACCTAAAGAACTGGTTACGATAGGCTACCATATGGGACCTATAGTCAATCTAGGTTTATATGTTTTTACTATTTTATTACCTATGGTCCTATGTTTATATAGATGAAGTCCATTTTCATGACGAAAACACGCATTAGGTTAGGATAAGGTGCAGATTATTTACTCGACCATTTTATATATCGCAAGGTCCTATCTAATCATCCGCCATTGCTGCACGTTTAATAAAAATGAAATAATATCTGAAAAATCAATCCTTAATAAGGAAATTTTGTGAAAATTATTTATTTTTGTGTAAATCGGATTTGCCCAAAGATGTTTTTGACCCATCGGAACTATATAAGAAATTATGTAATTTACAGATTTATTTTTATTTTTTTGGAAAATATTAACAAAATAGGAGCCCGTTTGTTTTGTGTGCATATCATAATTATATTTGACAGAAAAATTGACTTCGTTTGAAATTTTTGTGCCTACAGGAGCTAACTATTTAGTTTCGCGTATTTTATTGTTGACAAGGCCAGGCGCCATTAATATTTTATGTCCCCAATATTCTTATAGGTATCTATTCATTTTGTTTTTAATGTGATGAGTTGGGAAATACAATAACACCAATAATAAACCAAAAGTGCGAATTTGGTGCAATATAATAAACCTGGAACGTCCTTTATTTGGTTTGGTAGTTATTTGTTTTTAGGTTAGTCATGGTTTACCACGTTTAGTAAACGTTCAAATCTGGTTGTGTATGCTGACGTGTAAGTTAAAAATTAGTAAAGCCTCGCGACCTGCGACGTCGTTACAACCATGAAATGATTCTCCATTTTGGTGAAAATAAGGGTTGTATAGTCGTCTATTTGACGTCGCGCCTTAACGTCAAGACATCAATGACGACGTTGTTAGGACGTAAAAGCGCTGCTTGGGCGGTCAATCGAATCGGATATAGAGGCAGTCTCCTCAGCTATTTTTTATCCCGAAAAAAAAAAAGTTCGGTTGCGTAAAACTCTGATACACTGGAACGCCTATAAACAGCCCGTGGCGCTCTAGAGCAGCTCTGGAGTGCTTAAAATGCGTCACTGAACTCACTGGCAAGCGACTCTGATATCGGATTAAAAAAAAAAAAAAAATAGAAAATCAACAACAAAATTTGAAAAGAAGTGTATTATTTCAAAATGTATTTACACGCTGGCAACGCAGCGGGTTATTAGCTAGTTATTCATAAAATTATCTCAACATTTAAAAGTAACTGTTATTAATTAAATTTTCATAGTCACCAAATCGACATGTTTTACACCTGCGCAGTATGTTAGCTACCTGTTTTCGCAATTTTCGAAGAGAAAAAAGTTGGGCGTCTCGGTGAAATGAAGCTGCATTGAAAAAACTAGCTTGTTATTAATGATTTGGAAAAAAGGTCCTCGGCCCCCGGACTATAAGCTTTATTTTTCATGAAGCAATGCCTATACTTAAGTCCGCTCAGAATAAAGTTTTAGGCAAAACTTTAAGAAAAAAATAAAACAATTATTTTTATTTTGAGTTTTTTTGAAGCTGTTTTTTGGATTTATTTTTTTGAAAAAGCAAATTTTTGGACTTCTAAAAATGTTATTTCGATAGGAAATTTTATTCTCTACAAAAAACCCCAATGCATTTGAGCAAAAAAAATGCAAATGCAATGCAAAATGCAACGTTTTTGAGTTATACCTAGCCGAAAACTCAAAAAGCTGACAAACTCACCCCGCTCTTAAAAATGCACCCCTATATCTGGTAGTACTCCGCGGTTTAATCATCTTTAGGGACCAATTCAACATATTAAACAATAAAATTCCACTACCTAACGTCTTAGTCTTAGTCCCTTCAACCTTCTTGTTTTTATTTCTCAACCGATCTTATTTTTTCTTTGTCTTATATCTACTCGAATTATTCACTGCGGCTGTACTGGTGTACATGGTGTCCACATTTATAGGCTCAAATTTCAATAAATACTATTAGGGATTTTTTTGGGAAAAATCTGATAGCAAATTCTTGTTAAGAATGGTCTAAAACCCAAAAGTATCAATTTTTGTTTCAAATCTATATCAAAAATGTCATATTTTGAGTCAAGCTAACTAAAGGTTTGCGTTAATAACGATATACTGAAACTGGGTACCAATTTTTGTTGTCATCAGTATTATAGAAGCAAAATTAAAAATAAAACATTCACAATTAAAAATATGTTAATTAGGTTTTCTTATTTGTTTTAGTGGTCTACTCAACACGCAATGGAATTAAATGGGTAAGGGTCAACGTACCTCAGTACCGGGTACCAGGTGAAATAGCCCAGCTGCAATGTGATTACGATTTGGGCGACGAGAGCCTGTATTCGGTCAAATGGTATAAAGAACATGAAGAATTTTATCGATACGTACCAAAATCTCGACCCCAGTCAATATCATATAAAGTAGAGGGAGTAAATGTCGATGTAAGTTTGTTTTTTATTTTGAAAGAAAAAAAAACTAATTTTCCTAAATGTATGCCAATAATGTACATGAAAAATGACTCCTTGTAGGACAACTTGCAAATGCAGTTTTTCTTTTCTCTTATTTTGAAAAACACATGCGGGCTAGAATTTTTCCAGCTGGTTGACAAGTGCCTTGCCTAACTTTAACTATCAAATTGAATTTTCACAACCCAACCAAAAGTTATTTTATTGTTATGGATCGTGCGGCATAGTTGGCATCAAAAAATCGATGAAGCCCATTTTCGTCTCATGTCACATTTACCCGATCAGAGTGAATTATTATAAAAGCAGACGGCAAAATAGAAGCTTTCTACTAGCTACGTGTCCCAAATTTTAATAATCTCTCGGTTTCTTTATCTTAAGACCAACCGGATATCGTGAAACTTATTATCATTCGGAAGAGGGCTAATTTAATTTTCCTGAAAGAGATGGGAGTCTAATTTACCAGAAAAATGCCATGCAAAAGTTAATTAAGAAATTCGGCGGGTTATTTCTTAATTAAAAATAGTTTGGTCGGATTTATTTATCTTCATTCCAAATAATTTATAATGATTTCTCATTTTAGATTTATTTTATTTAAGTACGCACCATTACAAAATAATAGAGAATATGGAATTTACTACTTAGGTACTATTCTAACTTCACAGTAGGAAAGCGGTTTTCACTGATGAGTCTACTGTTTGTTCTCTTCACATATTTTACACAAAGTTGGTTATAAAAGTCACAGTACATAAAGTATGCCAACATTGGCTACGTTCACCAGAACCAAAACGGATTGTAAACAGTTTACAAATACCAACAGAATATATTGGGTAAACTCTTGGTTCTGCTGAACGATTCAACGACTTTTCAATGATAGAACGTCACCTTGACTGAATGATAGGTCACCACACAAAACACAGTGTTGAAAATTATAAACACTCTGAAATTATGCTTGCAAAAATGGCGACCGTTTGCAAAACATGTTTGGTTTTAACACAAATTCAACGTAGCGTTCAGCAGAACAATCGCAAACCGTTTACCAACGTTTGTATCTGGTGAACGCGGCCATTATCAAGAGACTAGACTTTCCTTCTTTTCATTGCATTATGGTTAGTTTTTTGTGACAGAAAAAGCCTCATACGCACATTCCTCATATTCTACTATCCAGTGGAATCACAAGTACATTTATGAACTAATTTCTGATGACCAAATAAAGCTCAATCTTATCTTCACCAGTTTTGTGCGAGGGCACTAACTTTGATATACCTATTTTCATCTTTGACAATTGACTCTTTCACTAAAATATATTTAGTTAAATTAATTAGTTATTTTCATAACTAATTAATTTAACTAAATATTTTTCATGGTACTTTGCCAACATTTTAGAATGAAATCTATAAAATTTTCAATGTTGACAATTAGCAACACTGTCAAAATGCAAGCTTTGACGTCATACGGATAAATTCTGGATTTTTATTTGCAGGTATTTCTTTTTTTTTTCTATTTTCTCAAGAAAGACTATGATTTTTTCGAAAGTAATAATACATTTTGTTTTTAGTTGGTTTATCCGTTTATGCCAATTTCAAAAATTAGTGAAAGAGCCCATTACAATTTCTCAACTTTTTCATAGCAATAAAAGACTAATTTGAATTTGCAGATGAATAAGTCAGATAGCAGGAAAGTGGTCCTTCATTCCGTGAACTGGAAAACTAGTGGATTTTTCAGGTGTGAAGTGTCAGCTGAGGCGCCATCATTCGCCAGCTCACAAAGCGAAGCTAGGATGGAAGTTGTCTGTAAGTCTACTTAGTATTGAATAGATCTGTATGTAGATTTAGATATTATGTTGAGAAGTTTAACGGCCGTAGTAATTGATTTTTGAGAAAGAAATCATAAGGATATTAGCCAAACAGTCTATATTACATCAATTATCAATATGTCGTCAAGCTTACCATAATCTTAATATTGAAGGGTCCTGATGATGAAAAAGTCAAAATACTTCGAAAACTTGACGACATATTGATATTGACGTAATAAAGACTGTTTGGCCGATATCCTTGTAGCAAAACGCCCCAAGTACTCTATGTGAATAGTTAGATGGTAAATGGCGAGCGGTATATTGATGGTGTTTTATATACTTGGAGTTGCTATCTAAAATCTGTGGAAGAGGGTCTATTTGCAAGAGAGAGAAACAAACTAATGAGGTGTACTAAATTATATTTTATTTTTCATAAAACCCAAAAATTCAGGCAAATATCTTCCAATCCTTTACATCCTCCTTTATTTCTATAAAATCAATACTTCACATCCATTCTAGATTGTTATTTTTTTTACGGACCACTGAAATATCCCTACTAAATAAGAAACGCCCTATTCCTACTATTTCTCTTACTTATAATTTAACTCATGTCAATACATCCGAATCATTCCTAATAACTACCCTTTACCTAATTAAATAATTCTTTAAAATCTCTAAGTCTTTTACTTATGAAAACCCAAAATAATTACCTATTTGTTTATCAACTAACTTATTCTCATAAAATCTTACAATAATTTCTACTTGAAAAATAAAATTCCTAATTCAAAATTCCTTTCATGAACAATAAATTCTTTTAAGAACTTTCCCATATTTTAAGACAATTCTATTTCATGCACTTCAAGTTTCTTTCCAAAAATTTCTATTCCCTTTAATAGTTTATTTAATCAGAACAAATTCTATTATAAGTTTCCTTTTAACAACTTTCCAATATTTTAAGACAATTCTATTTCATGAACAAGTTTCTTTTCGAAACATCCTATTTCCTTTTAATTAGTTTATTTAATCAGAACAAATTCTAATATAAGTTTCCTTTTAACAAGTTTCCAATATTTTAAGAAAATTCTATTTCATGTCATCAAGTTTCTTTTCAAAATTTCCTATTGCAGTTAATAGTTTATCAGAACAAATTCTATTTCAGGATTCCTATGCCTAGCTAATAAATTCAACTGTTTAATTCATAATTCCAACTCAAAATTGTATATTGTTAAATGCATTATAAGTACTCTACATATTTTCTTTTCACATTTAAATGTCATTATATCTGAAGGTATTTAAAGTTATGCGATAATGTTTCCTTTATAAAACACTCAAGTTATTAATTTTATTGTAATAAAGTTCCACCGTGATTAAAAGTCAAAAGTTTTTCTAGTAAAATTCACACAAAGTCATGTTCATCAAAAATAAATCTTGTCACTATAGAGTACTTAAATTTTGTCCATAAAACACACGTAAAATTACTTAATTAATTACTCAAAATGTTTAGCTAGCACGCACATAAATTATTGAACGAATTTCAAATGGTATTACTTTCCCGATTTTTCGTATTTTTCTAAGTCAAATCGAACGCGTCTTCCGAGGCAGCTTCGCGACCTTTCAACCGGGCAAACTCATTTGGTTCTGTAGACTTTTACTCAAACTGGACTGGACAAATGAAAACTGGCAACTGTCTCTAACAACTAAAAACGAGGTATTTATATTTTCCCCCAAATAGTCAACAGGCGGTCGTTTGCCTAGCAATCCGACACTTCCATTGGCCAACCTAATTATTATTAAAAATAATGATGCAATTTCCTTGGAATTTTATATCATTTTTAGCCTGAAAACGATTAATTATGTCGCAATGTTCTGATTTATTAAGGTCAAAACATTATTGGTTCAAGAATGCCATATATCATCAAATTAATTAACATGCTGGCCTTGCTAAGAAAAAAGTTCATTGATCGGGTTTTAGTGATGTCACTGTCCTCGTTTTTATCATTTTTAAGAATTTAATTTAGATGATGACTTGGCCGCTGTTGCAATACGTTAGCGTTAATTTGTTTTATTTTTAATTTATCGATACAGATTTAAAAATACCGGAATTAAATTTTTGATTATTTGATCGAATTTAATTTTTTTACAGTAAAGACTTTGTAATTATAGGGTCAATTTTCTGGATCATCACATCCTTGTGATTTCTTTCTAAAAAAAAAAAAACTTAGATATTATCTTATAACACCATATTTGAATAATGCAAGCATCCTGAATAAGGTACCTATATCCAAGAAAATGTATCTTTCGATGTACAATTTTATTTATGAAATTCTCAAAAGAAAAAAAAATTTAGGTATTTTAGTATTATATTTCTCTACTAACTTCTAATGATCCGCATGAGGCATAATCAAAATTGTTTATTCGCCTGGTAATGTTTCGGGTAAACCCGGCCTCTACAGGGTGCTTATGATAAAATATTAACATAGGTAACATAAAATATTGTCAATTTTTGAATAAAACCATTTATTTTTCTAAAAATTTTGACAACTACTATACTTAATGCCCGATTTCAACAAAGATACTATAATGTTAGGTACCTACTCCACCTAGTGGTGAAAACTCTAAAGTACCAAGAGGAACTATTTCGATGCTCACGGTACACGGTATACAAATATATTCCCAGTAATGCAATGAACGCTAAAGTGAAATTTGAATTGCGTGATGCAAACAAAGAGAGGGGGAGACCACGAAACGGCAATAAAAATAAATGTGTACCAATATACGATTAAATGCATTATAGCAATAAACGGATAGTGTGCATGTTTATAATCACATCAATTATTTCTTTGGATGCAGACGGAATTTTTCATGCCTCGCCAGCATATGAGCTTTTATGATGAATTAACTTTAAAAGATTGTTTTCACAAAAAATAAAAAATACTGACGTGGATAAAGAAAATATTTTGAACTTCTCAATTAAAAATCTGTGATAAAATTTGCTAATGGAGTATTGATATTAGATACAGGCTCATCTTGAGAGAACTTAAATTTGCTATAATACCTACTGTACCTTTTTGTTTCTCAGCTCAAAAATCTATGAGTAGCGAGAACAAGAAATTTTAGCATTCTCCACGCTCTAAAGAAGCTGTACCATAGAGTTTTGGTATCGCACCAATTAATTTTGAAGAGTGCACAATCAGATGTGACGTAAACTGTTATGAACATAGAACACCTCATTTTTCAATGATTTTACATTTTTAACAGAATATCAAACCTCAATATTATTAAAAAGCGTTTTCTATTTTCCATTCTTTTTGCAAGAGATTTTTACAATTTCAATCCGTCAATAAATATTTTTCAACCTACCCAATCAATAGACCTCTTGCACTCAATCGAAATCAGATATTTGATTTATCTGAAACGAAAGTCTATTCGTTATACTACATAAAAGTATGGTTGGTTGATTTTTTTAAAAATTTTGAAGCCAGAAATTGCAAGAAAAATTTTCAAATTATTTGAATTTTGCTCCATATTTTGCACCAATCAAAAATCAGTGATTGCCAAATTTCCATGTTCCAAACGAATCTTTATTTCCCTTTTTTAACACATCGAACAAAAAAGGAGGCATATATTTAAGATATCAAAATCGCTTTGTCTATCGACTTTGGTACAGCCCTACTTTTGACATGAAAAATAAAACGACACTTGATGAAGTTTCGACAATTTTGTTCCCTTGTCTAAAAATACGAATTAGACAAAGAGATCTGTACCTGTACTAATCCGGCGCAGTATAAAGTACGAAAACGATAAAAAGTATTTTTAATTTTCATGATTTTTGTTTACTGTTAGATGAACGCCAAGGTCAGTGACCTCTGGCCAATTTACCTATCTCAATGGCTTTTGACCACCATTAAACTCAACTCAGTGACACTGAAAGATTATTCAAAAACCAATGAACGTTTCCGAAAGGTAATGTTGAGATTATCTAAAACCCAAGCAAAGACAATTGACCATTTCAATATGACGTCATGCTGGAGGGCAACCAATCATTTTGTTGTCAAATTTAAAGGTTTCTAGGTTAAAAACGGGTGGAAAAATGCCAAAATAATGTCATCCGAAGCTTTCTAGGTTAAATACTTGTCGAAAAATGCCAAAATACTGTCATTTACATTACATAACAAAATGTGCAACAAGTTACCAGTAGAAATTTGAAAGAACGGTTCTTGATTTATTGACTCACTGCTCTTAGATACCTCGAAGGGTCTCTCTAAAGTAAACAAGAGGCCGGAGTCATTCTGAGTGTAGTTTGAACAAAAAAGAAAAAGGATGCTTTTGCCTGTGAAAATGTAAAAAGTTAGTCTTAGAAAAACAGACACATAAAAATAGCAATAAATTCAATAGGTAATTATTGTTTATTTTGTTTGTGATGAAGAAAGGGTTTGGAAAAGCCGATTTCGGAAATTCGCCAGAGGTGAGCTGGAGAGAATGGAAATGATTCCCTTATTGGGTAGAAACCTCTAAAAATTTAGAGGCATATACTAGAAAATGAGTATTTAATTATGAACAATAATGACCTAATAGCCTTATGGGGTTATGCTCGGAGTCCCGGTCCCTTGTCCCCGACAGGAAAAGTTTACATGCAATCCATGACATCTGGGCAACACTGGATAAAATTGACCAATCAGAAATTTGAACTTCGAATCAAAATTAAGGGCCTTTGCAAGTCCGAAAAAAATCGGAAAAAAATATAGTTAAGCTTAATTTTGACTCCTCTTTCCAATAAACAAATAAAAAAAATTCATGCAAGAAACCTATTCTATACTCTATACAGTTTATTTGCTTCTTGTATTCAATTATTTTTTAATGCTCTCATAAGAAAAAACGTATGACACTAGTCACCTGTATAATCGAATCGAAAATTGCATTACCCTTTCTCGTGGAATATTCCAGCCGGTGGTATTCGGCCCAAGAAAATATTGTGCAGGCAAAATTATTCTCATGGTT